TTACAAATCTAGAACTTTTCACTATTTAAAATAAGAGAATTTGGGGTAGGAAACCAAACCAAATATAGGCAAATATGTATATAGAAATGTGTATGTGGGGCATTCCACGCCAAATTAACCTCTTTTGAACTCGTTCCTTTTAAATTTTATCCCACTAAAAATATGTTTCAGAATCAACTTTTAGCCCGATTAAAAAAAAAAATTCATCAAATTAAAACTGATGATCAAAATTGCGAGAGTCCATTGCTTGTAGAAAAAATATTGTACTTTACATACTAGTTAGGTAAATAACTATTTAAATAACTATTTAGGTGCCATTACACAGAAATCTGTCCAATTAATAAGCCCTAAATTTTTCTACCTATTAAGTCACAAAGTTTACTTGTTCACAAACGTTTTTTTAAATAACATACATAAATGCAATATTTTTTGGTTACCAATTTTATGGAAATTTTACGTATGTTTCTCTCATTAAATTATTGAATTATGTTAGAATTATCACTTGTATAAATAAAACTTTTTCACACAATTTTCAGGTATTTGGGTTTTACCGATGTTTTAGTACATTCCAAGGAGATTATGGATTATCTACATATTAATCCCATGTCAATAATCAATAAATTTTTTTAAATCAAACTACTTATGATATTAATTATTTTTAGGGTTTAATGCATTTATAATATACCTACTATGTAAGTATTTATATATTTTTTATATGGGAAAAATGATTTAGATTAATCGGGTTATGTTAAAAATTCATTATTTACTACTTTGGACTAATAAAAAAATTTGACTTCTGTCAGATCTTTCTAACCTCACTTTCTACTTTTAAAAATTGTACGTTTTATGTATATTTTTTACAAATATAATTGTGCCTTCAAGATAAACTGTTGTATGCCATTCGACCAAGAAGTGTGCTTTACTCAACTTTGAGCTCAGCGCAAAAATACTTACTTCTTGACCTAATGACGTATATAACTATGTATTTAAAAAAAATAATATGATGTATTACAGGGCCTGTAACTTGAAAACAAAAATCCTATGAAAAAAAACTATTTTCGACAGTTAAATTTTCTCCCAACATTTCTGGTAATATAAAATTACAAAGAAAAATATTTGTCTATAATAAAATATTTAATTTAATTTTAAAACAAAACTCATTTCTGACGGTTACAACTTTTTTACAGCATTGCATTCAATTATTGTTAAAATGCATTTTATTTAATAAAAAAAATAATAAAGTATTAATTAGAAACAATAATTTCTCAATATTCCACTTGACCAATTATTTTGACGCCATTTTTTTTATTAAGTCTTAATAATAAACACGATTTGTTCATAAAAAATGTTAAATTATTGCATAGGTATATCTGAAAATCCATTAGTTTTATTTTTAATTTCGATTAAACCAAATATTTCTTCAGTAGGAAATTCGTGGGTACCTACCTACCCTTCATTTTAAAAGCGAAGTAGGCGGGATTTCCAGCTTACCTTTTATTGTTCCGCTGTTTTACCAAAATCCACCTTAGGACACCTGATCTCAAGACACTTGTTTAGCACTTGTTCCAAAACACAATCGTCCAATACCAATACATTCAATAAATCGAATAAACGACAACGTAAACTTGACTGATCGTCTTCATCTATGCGGTGATAGTTTACAACTGTGGTAGTAAACTACCCCAAAGCAAAACGGAGATATTGACAGTACTTGTTCGGGTGGAATGCAAGGTGTTTATAAAAATATTGTTTAGTGACAAGTGTTTAGTGGAATTTACGTGTGACATGAAATTTGTACCTGTCCAAGTGGTTACCAACGCTATGCCAAAAAGTATGAAATTATTTAATTATATAATTTTACCTCGTATGTAAATTTTTAGGATTTTACGTGTTTATACTTGATGCGACGATTAAAATATTTGTTTGCAAGTAATCACCTCCCAAGATTAAATAAAACAAAGTTGAGGTGTAAATTATTCAAATACTCTGCTTTAACTTGCTTTTGCATGTCAAAATTTGTACATTTTTTATTTTAATTCATGTATAAAATAAAAAATAATAAATTTTTAATAGTAGGTACCTTTATTATGATATGATAGCGAGTAGGGGTCACACAAGATATTTTAAATAGGCCGCTTTTTTAGATAGTATAGATAGTAGATAAGTATGTTGTATCTTGAAAACTAAGCATTTCCGGAACTTTTTTTTATGATCTCCAGCTCATGTTTTTTGTAACACCCTGTTTGTACTATACTATACTAAATTATATAGTAGAATTACACAATTATTTTGTGAAGGATTATTTTGTAGGGATCATTCGGCAAATTCGCGGACTTTTTGATGAAAAATTGGGAATGATTTAAAGTTGTTTTTGTAGTAATTTTATTTAATAAATATAAATTTGCATTGACTTTCCACTGGGACTTTTTTTCAAATAATTTGTTCACAATCACAAAGAATGTTATAATGCTGCTAAAGTAAATTTAAATATGTCAGTGAAATTTTTCAGTCAAGATAGTAAATTAAAGAATTCTCGCGTGGGTCCGCGATTTCTCATGAGACCATAAAAATTGTAAAAAGCCATATGGTTATTATGTAAGACAAACGCAACAATAATCCATCCAAAAGTTTTGAAAACATTCCACAAGATATTTTAAATAGGCCGCTTTTTTTAGATAGTATAGATAGTAGATAAGTATGTTGTATCTTGGAAACTAAGCATTTCCGGAACTTTTTTTTATGATCTCCAGCTCACGTTTTTTGTAACACCCTGTTTGTACTATACTATACTAAATTATATAGTAGAATTACACACTTATTTTGTGATAGATTATTTTGTAGGAATCATTCGGCAAATTCGCGGACTTTTTGATGAAAAATTGGGAATGATTTAAAGTTGTTTTTGTAGTAATTTTATTTAATAAATATAAATTTGCAGTGACTTTCCACTGGGACTTTTTTTCAAATAATTTGTTCACAATCACAAAGAATGTTATAATGCTGCTAAAGTAAATTTAAATATGTCAGTGAAATTTTTCAGTCAAGATAGTAAATTAAAGAATTCCCGAAGTGGGTCCGCGATTTCTCATGAGACCATAAAAATTGTAAAAAGCCATATGGTTATTATAAGACAAACGCAACAATAATCAATCCAAAAGTTTTGAAAACATTCCATTTGTTATTAGTAATATTAACTTATTACTAGGGGTGTGCGAATATCGTTCGAATCGAATCGAATATTGATATTCGATTCGAAATTCGAATCGAATAATTTGAATTTTCGAATTATTCGAAATTCTACGAATGATTCGAAAAAAATCGAATAACCCGAAAATTTTCGAATTATTCGAAAAATTTCAAAAATTTCGAATAACTCGAAAATTTTCAAATAATTCGCGAAATAATGAAATATCTCTGGATTTTCAATTGTTTCCATTTAAATTACTTTTAATCGTGTATCGAAATATTCTACTTACGAATAATATACTTTTTGTTAAAAATCAATTACCCACAGAAAAAAAATCTATAAGAAAAAGGTTACTCATGTATCGTATTTATTATTTTTGCACAAAAATTTGTAGCAAATTTTCAAATGTTGTATTTTTCATAATACTGTATTTGCTACGATATAATTTCTGTTATTTCATTCTCTTTTAACAAAAAAAAACTATACTTATTGTTCTATTTGTGTAACTATATTTCATGGTTTGAATAAAATGTATATTCACTGTTAAATTCATATTTGAATATTGAACATAAGAAACCCTGACTTCAAAATACTCAAAAATTCGCTAATAATATAATAGTTAACAAATAATTCGAAAAAATTCCGAATTATTCAAAAAAATCGAATTATTCGAATTTTTTCGAAGTATTCGAAAATTTTCGAATTCGAGAACTTTCGAATATTAATATTCGATTCGGAACGAATAATTCGTAAGTTCGAATTATTCGCACACCCCTACTTATTACTTATTTTTACAATTTATTATTTCGGCGATATTTATTTAGAAAATCAATTATAATAATGCTTGTAGGAAAATTAAAGTATTGAAGATGTAATTAATTTTCAAAATAAATATTATCGAAATATTTTATTGTAAAATTGGTAATAACAAATGATATTTTTTTAAAAACTTTTGAGTGGAATTTTGTTGCATTGATACCTACTTATTTTCATTATTACATGAAAAATCGCTCTATAATCATGTTGATTGTTTTGTAAAATTTGTTATTCGTTCGCGAATGTTGTAAATTCTGTCTAATGAGTGATTCCAGCGTCAATCAAATTAATTGTTAACAGAAAACGTTTTACGATTTTCGTTAAATTGAGTCTAACTGTTAAGTAACACATTTGACGAAATTTCTGTAATGGATTTTAATGTCCGGGCGAAAAATGCGACGGCATTAATGTTTAGACAAATTTATTTTTGTGCGAATTCGTGTTCCTTATAAAAATGTTATAAGCAATTCAATAAATATAAATGCCTCTGGGATTTTTATTTTGAAAAATTATGGAATCAATCTAATTAGGATTCAAAAATGGGTAAAATCTTCAAAAAGTCGTATTTGAAAGAAAAAAATTAATGATTTGAAAGAAAAAACTAATGATCCCGGCGCATTCGCCAAAATTGCAATTCTATAATTTTTTAATATTTTTTAATTTACACTTCATTAAATGACCTATTATAATAATAATAATTATTATTATTTTTTATTTAAGTTTGCAATTTGTCATTAAAATTTGCCCAAAAATAATGAATCCTTTTTTAATAAAACCAACTCATTAGTAGGTACGAGTATAAAACTCCCCAGTGTATTTAAATTTTATTTATTCGACTGCTCTTCAAATTTTGCGTTAATTATTTCCAAACGTCGAGTATTTCACCCAGCATCATTAAAGTGTACAAGTGGAGGGATGCTCAATTTTTTACTCAAGCATCTTATTTAAAAACCCAAAAACACATAATTTTAAATAAATTAAATTATTTTTTTTTCAGTAGCATCACTTGGCGCTAGAGGCGCCATGAAAGAAAAAAGCAAAAACGCGGCGAGGTCGCGACGCGAAAAAGAAAACGCGGAATTTTTGGAGTTGGCGAAATTGTTGCCGCTACCCGCTGCAATCACATCACAATTGGATAAAGCTTCTGTCATCAGGTTGACAACATCCTATCTAAAAATGAGACAAGTATTTCCTGACGGTAAGTGAAAATAGACAATATCTAGTAGTATCAGAAACTCAAACAATAGAAAATGATAATCAAACTTTTGACATGTATATTGGGGTTGCCAGTTGCCTTTTTTACTTGGGTTTTATCTAATTATTTTTTTTACAATCTAAAAATAATTTTTGATTTTACCTTTACCTAAATGATGATACATGATAATTTAAAGACAAAAGAAAAAATCATAACTCGTTAATAAATAGACATGCAACAATACACAAGGTATATTTTTGTAAGAAATTTTACGCTCTATAAAAAAGGTCTATTAAGTACGTTATTTTCGTAAACCATCCATCTAAATGATATCGAAGGTCAAAGTTTCAAATAAATAAAAAAAAATCTATATTTTCTTTCTGAATTTTTCGATGACTTTTTTCACTTAAGTATTAGGTATCTAAATTATCTAAATTATTAAAACTATTTTGAAAAAAAAAATTCATGTGTCGTTTAAATGACAATACTTTTTATTTAATATAGGATTTTTACACGTTTTGGGTGTTTGTTATTTTTTAAGTTGTCTTTTTATACTTGGGCATTGCTAACATTATTTGTTAATAGTAATAATTTTAAAAATAGTACATTATCGACAAGGCGAAGTTGATTGTGTTTTAATAGCTGTTTTTGGTCTTTATATGTTATGTTGCCTTGAATTCGTAGATATTTTCTGCCTTTTACTATTTCAAAATGCAGATGTTGGCGGTTTTTAGACTCAAATATAAAAATGTTTGATTTTAAGGTTATGTTTGTATTACTATTATTTTGTGTTAGATTTTTAGAAAATATCCAAACCTAAATATAAATTACATTAGATAAAGTTATCATAAGTAAATTCTGCACCAACAAATGAAACATGAAAAGGCAATTTCGGTTTAGTTCTTGAATTACGTTTAGGTAGAATTAAAAACAAAATAATTCACCATGATCACTTTGATAAAATACACACAAGCGAACGTAGCTATATAAGCATGCTATAATATTCATATAAAGAATAATAAATCAAAATCAAGTACTAAAACAATCAAAGTTTTTCTGGTTTTACTTGCAGCGCTAAACATAAATAACGTGCGCGGTGAAGCTGTGCAATTGAAACTTCGCGAACAAAATTTGTCGAGTAAGACTTCTATAGAAGGTATACCTTCCTCCAAATTGTGAAAAAATTACTTATGTATTTATAAATATTGTACAGTTTGTATGCTTTAAATGTATTGTTGACAAACCTTGAAGTCCAAAAATGCTATTGAGCAAGACATATTTTCTAGAAAATTTTACGCTCTGAAAAAAACGTATTTTAAGTTTTCGTTAAACCATCCATTTATATAATATCGGAGGTCAAAATAAATAAAATTTAAAAGTATCTACAAATTCGCTTGTCGCTGGTAGTCGCTATAGCGAGTAGTATACCGGGTAGCTGCTACTTACTCGCCAAGACTTAAACAATGTATTGAGTTGTTATCCTACAAGCTACAAGTAGCTATCAAAATTTGTGACTCACAAATGACTTTTCGCTAGTTTGGGACGTAGCAGCGACCAGCAAATTTGTTGAAGAACGTACCTCTAAACGACAACGAAAAATTATTATTTATTTCTAAAACTGTTTTTAGTCTGTAAACATACAATTTAGATGATACCCAAGTATAAAAAGCCAACTACAAAAAAAAATCAGAGAATTTTTTTTTTATTTATTTTAAACTTTGACCTCCGATATCATTTAAATGGATGGTTTTACGAAAAAAACCTAATTCACGTTTTTTATAGAGCGTAAAATTGTTAAATGTTTATTTATTAGCGAGTTATGATTTTGTCTTCCGACTTAAAATTTAAAAAAGTAGCATTTAAAAAAAATTGTTTTTAGATTGTACAAAAAATTATGTAGGTAATACCCAAGTGAAAAAAAGCCTACTTGCGAAATAAAGGACACCCTTATGTATATAGGTATTTTACTTAACATAAATGTAAAATCTTTTCTGAATAAAATATCTACTATTGAAGATTATATAAATTAGTTTAAAATCTGATTGAACCTTTCGTTTAAAAACTCAATTTAACATATTTGTGATAAAATTCAACACTATTGACAAACACATTTTCTTACCTGGTTTTGAAATTTTGATTATCTGATTCTTTATTAAAAGAATATATTTTATGGGTTTCTTTTGTAGAAAAATATATTAAATTTAAATGAAATCAGAGTAAATGCCAAATATACAAGATTGTTATTCATTACAGGATTGGGAGACGCGTGGGGCGCAACACCTATGGTTCACAATGCAAGAGATACTCCCATAAAAGAACTAGGATCATATCTATTACAAACTCTTGATGGGTTTATTTTTGTGGTAGCACCCGATGGAAAAATTATGTACATATCAGAAACCGCTTCTGTACATCTTGGATTATCACAAGTAAGTAAAATAAAGCTTGTTGAATTAGAATAATTCAAAACAATTAGGCATTGTTCTAAACCCTACATTTACAACTCTAACTAATAACAAACTTGTGTTTGTTCTCAGGTAGAATTAACAGGAAACAGCATATACGAATACATCCACCCGGCGGATCATGACGAAATGACGGCGGTTTTGTCCCCACAAATGCCGCCCCCAGGGGCCAATCAACAAGACTACGAAATCGAAAGAGCGTTTTTCCTGAGGATGAAATGCGTTTTAGCAAAACGTAACGCAGGGCTTACAAACGGAGGCTACAAGGTAACTTAATGTCTTTTAATGTCACATTAGGCTTAATTCGTTGATTTATTACTTAAAAACGTGACCCAGACAACATTTTTGTCGGCAGGGGTACGAGAATTTTCGTCAGTAGCGTTTGGTACTGCGAAAATCTTCATAATTTATGCGAGCAAACGGTTCAATAAACATGACAACACAATAAACACTTACCTACCCTATTCAAACAACAGCGATATCAAACTTGAGGTTTACACTACTATATGGAAAGTAAAGGCTTAAAGAAAATACAAGTATTTAGTTATTACTTTCCATATTATTCATTCAAATCAAATTAGTATTCTTTAGGACCATTTTCATAATTAGACTCCCTTTGATTTCATTTTATTAGCATACAGTCAATAAATTACCCGGCGTAATTAACTCATATGCATATCATGAAATTACACATGTATGAAACATTAAGGCAGAACCAGTCTACGCATATGAAGACACTTATTAACTCCTTTGATTTACTTAAGTACTATTCACATGTTTATCCAATTAGTGCCACTATCTGCGACTAATTTGCCAACAACACGTATACATTAAATGTAAATTAAATTAAATTTTATCGGGAAAAGTGTATGTGTGTAAAATTTACAACTTTGCATTTTTATTTTTTAGGTTATTCATTGTTCAGGATACTTGAAAGTAAAACAGTACAATTCATCGTCATCACCGTACGACTGCTACCAAAATATGGGATTGGTGGCTGTTGGACACTCTTTACCACCCAGTGCCATCACAGAAATTAAACTTCATACAAACATGTTTATGTTTAGAGCCAGCTTGGACCTCAAACTTATTTTCCTAGACGCTCGGTAAGAATACATGCTTAACATAATATTTAAACCAGCAAAAATATTAAAACTTGAACGATTTAAAGCAAATTAATTGTATCAGATTTTCCCCTTTAAATATCTGATTCCTCTTCAAACAAACTCACGTGGTGAACTTCACGTGAATTTCCTTAAATAGCGTATCGTATGGCAATTGTTTGGCACTCGATGAAACAAAAAACTGTCGAACAAATAGGCGCATGGGGGCACTTGTGATTTTTAATGGTTTAATGTTACTGAGGGTGTTTTTTATTGTTTCAGGGTGGCCCAACTGACTGGTTACGAACCTCAGGATTTAATAGAAAAAACGCTTTATCATCACATACACGGCAGCGATATTCTGGCGATGAGGCAGGCACATCATCAACGTAAGTTTTTTTAATTAGATGTTTAAGTGAGAAAACAATTCATTAATATTCAAAGCAAAGTTCTTTAATAAAATTAGAACAATTATAACGATGAACCCTTAAGAAATAGCCATTTACACTCGGATAAATTACTCCACTTGCCTTCGGCTCGTGTCGCAATATTTCATCCTCATGGAAATAACCATCTTTCTTAATTGTTGAACAATAAACTATTATCAAACTGACAATTCGTTATATCTTAAAATTCGCTAAAGAAGTATCGCTAGTGGCGCCAACACGTAGCCGTCATCATCGTATTTGGTGTTCTTGAGAATAAGGCAGGAAAATATTAAATATATCGAGAGCAAAAACTGTGGAACGATTTGTTATGTTCTTGGGTGGTTTTCGAGTGGAAATCTATGGGAAATAAATTGCCTAAATACAATAAATACTCATTTTATTAATAATTTACGTGAATTGTAAACATAAATTCAGTAAAAATCATAAAACAAATACCTACGTCGTCTAAAGTCAAAGAGCATTATGTATTCTTAAATGCGTTGATTGAGAAAGTCTTCACTCAACAGTAAAATACCAAAAACTGGTATTATATTATGTATTATATATAATATTAGGTTGCCTGAATTCGTAGATATATTTTGTCTTTTACTATTTTAAAATGCAGTTGTCGGCGTTTTTTAAAAATGTCCAAACATAAATATAAATTATAATAAGTAAAGTTATCATTAGTTAATTCTGCACCAGCAAATATACGTACCAAATTGGATCCTGGCAAAACATGAAAATGGTGGCGTAGGTTCATATTATATTTTTAAAGAAACCGATAACATCACAAAATTTAATTTTTGTACGATTTATTACAAAATTTTTCTGGTCTTCATTGTCTTCGTTTTAGTATATGTATATTCATCTGCAAGACTAACTTGATACCTTTCCCATTTCCCAGCTTGCTGGACTGTTAAATTGTTCTTAGTAACTTTTGGATAAAAATACTGCAGTTTTGATAAAATGTCAGTGCAAGTTTGTCTAGAGATGACGGGTAAAAGCACTGTAAATCCAAATACAATTTTTTGTGTTTTATAAATCACAACTTCATACTAGCAATAAATGTGTCCAACTTCAATATTCAAGATTAAACAATATAGGTAACATATAATAAAAATATAATACCACAGATATAAAATTTGGAAAAAATGTGGAATATCTTAGACCTGGATGTGCAGTTCGTATGCTTTTAATGTATTGTTGACAAACTTCCTATTTCAATAATGCTATCGAGCGCCACCAGATGGCGCGCGCCACTTTAGCGTATATTTTCTTGCTAAATATAACTCTTAACATAAATAATAATTATTATTATGATCGATTATATTTACTCATTAAAACCGAAGCAAGACATTCTGCAGCTCGTTGTCAATACGAAAATATCAAATATATTCATATTTGTTATATTATTAGCGAAAATAAATTTATTAAAAACAATTAAACTGGGTGAAAAAACTAAATAATTTTTTCTTACGACTTTATAATTTACTTTCGTATTTTTTGTTTTTTCTTGAAAGGGAGTAGCTAAATCAGGAGAGCTGTGCAAACATGGATAACCGTTTTGTATGCACACTCAAATTCTAACTCTATAAGAAGATTATAACTAATAAGAGGCTTTTTAACACATTATTATTATGACACCTTATTTACGATAACAAATCCATTTATTTTCTAATTTTTATTTTTACATTTTAAAAGTTTTTTAAGTAAACTTTAAAAAAATACAGGATAAATCTTCTTTTTTTATTATTGGGGAGGTTTTTTCTTTAATCAGATTTCTTTAATGGTCTATTTTCATTATTCAAACCTTACTTCCGCTTCCGCAATTTCAGAAGTTCTACACAATTTATTACACCCGCTTCTGCAGTTTTTATATCTTCTTCACCGCAAAAAGCGTGAAAAATAGAAATTTACATTTTTAAAATTTTGTATAGTATTTATACTTCCGCTTCCGCAAAAAATTAACAATTAAAATGTTTCCGCTTCTGCTTCTTATATGCACACTTTGCATCACTAATTTTCATTAAAAAAGTGCTTTGAACAAATTCTTCGGGATACCGTTTTAACACTGAAACTTATTTAAGAAAACCATAATATTTTAAATCGTTTAATTTCATAGACCAGAAATAGTATATTATAATTAATATGATTATTTTTTTCAGTTTTATGCAAAGGACAAGTTACAACGAAATACTATCGATTTTTAACAAATGGAGGCGGTTGGGTCTGGATGCAAAGTTACGCAACCATAGTGCATAACACAAGATCATCAAGACCTCATTGTATAGTATCAGTTAATTATGTTTTAAGGTAAGTTAAAACATAAAAACCATCTTTAAACTTTAATAATACATTTAAAATATAAATCTTCGTCCATAGTCAAGCAAATATATAACGGTTTTTATTTATTTCAGTGATCTGGAGGCAAAAGACTTGGTCCTTAACGTAGCACAGGGTTCCCCCAGAGAGGATCTAACGAGTTCCCCGCAAGAAAAGCACTCACCAATACAAACTCCATCGCGGAATAGCATATCAACCCAGCCGAAATACCAAACTCCCAGGTCTACGTCACTTCACTCCAACATGGTCTCTCCTCAGACCTCGTCCATTCCAGACGATGACTTTAGCGACTCCAACGGTGCTATAGCCTATGCACCGCCCGAATATTCAGTTTATATGCATAATTTTAACGAGGAGCCGTATTATCCGCACCAAGAAATGTTTTACCCGTTCACAGACCCGGAAGTGAGTCAGCACGCCTTTCACACCACACCGGCGGTTCAACAACGACCGTTCAGTGCTTCTTCTAGCAGTTGTAGTTCCATTGAAAGTGAACACATGCAATTGCAGAATTTAAGTGGCAATGCGTACTGTGAAAATTTACACGGACAACATTTTAGTCTCGGGACTTTTAATAATAATCAAACGCACACTTTACCTCAAAATTTGTACTCGGGCCACGAGTATAACAATAAGCAGGGACACCAAGGAGGTACGGGGTACACGAGTGTTATTGTTGACACTCAGCAGTATCAGCTGGCTAACGAGTATGTGCATTAAAAATAGTTTTTTTTTCATAGAACATCACTTTTTAGTTTATGATTTGCCTTAACGTACTATAATTACTTCAATTTTCTTACTATAATTTATTGTACATAACAATTTAACCCGAGTGTCGAGCGATATGCTACTTTCTAAAATTTTCTTTAGTTCTAATAAATCCTGTAAATATTTTTTACTTTATTGATTGTGATTTTGATTATTACCTATTTTAATTTTAATTAAAATAATCCATGTGATTGTACTTTTATTAGTAGGTTTTTTCTTTTAATTGTGTTAATAGATACGACAATAATTTGAGACTGTGAATATGTATTGTAAATATAAGTGTACAATATTTTAACTATTAAATATTTAATATCATATAATATTTATTATTATGGAATAGGCATTATTCTACCAAATATTAAAGAGTTGCTGTTATTTTTACATTTGTTTGTTTTTTATTAACCAAAATTTAAAAAGGTAAGTATCTATCAAACATTTAATTACTATTATTTACTTGGGATTTAAATAATTATATATAATACTAATCGTAATTAAAAAAATATAATATATTATGTCGAATATTTTGAGGTACTATTCCCAACTACAAACAATATATACCAGGACAATTATATTGAACCATTTCAAAAAAATCAAATCAAAAGGCTTTGAAATTGAGTTGCCCAAAATTCACCTTGTAGATACTATTAATTTTTGACCAATCAAAAGTAATTGTTGTGAATATTGCACTAGACAAATTGCAGCGAATATTGTACTAGTACATGTATACAATATTCGCGGCAATTTGTACTATTCCAATATTGCCAAAAATAACTTTTGATTGGTCAAAAATTGACAAATAAAGCGCTCTGATTGATCCAGTTTTGACAGATGACAGGTGAAAAAAATTACCAACAAAATTGCCAAATAATATATATCAGTTGGGTCTTGACTCTTGAAGTGTAAGGATGCTCAAAGAGATTTAACGAGACCCAAGCAGCGTATACGATACAAACGTAGTAAAGTATCAAAAGCGAATCTAAGTATGCGGAAATACCGGTAATCGGTAATAAATAAATAAACAAACAAGTGCGAAAAGTGCAAAAAGTGCGCCGTATAATAACAAAAAATCAATATCGATTCTACACGTGATAACTGTTTAACGCCGTAAAATAATAAAAAAATCAATATCGATTCTACACGTGATAACTGTCCCAAATGCAAAAGAGTGCAAAATGTGTGTGGTACCTCCCCCTGGACTAAGTCCTCAAGTGTTTGACCTGGTTAAAAGGTGTGAGAGAGACGATCAGTTCCAATGAAAATTTCCTGGGCTTCCACACGTGCCGGCGGCATGCGATAAGGATCAATATCAGCACACCTGCCTGGCAAATATCCCGAAGTCCAAGTCTGCATAAACTAGATAAGTAGCTACCAAATTGCATGACCATGACCACCCAATAATATTAATACTACACCTTTTCAAACAGTATTTGAGAAATTATCATTTAAATTTTTGAAAGCGTCAATTTTATTTTAGTCTTAGCAAATGAATTGTAGAAGATATCATTTGTATTTTCTAACAGTGAATTATATTTGCGAATCAGTCAAATATATTTTAGCCTAATTAAATGGATTGTGGAAAGTATCAGATGTATTTTATCCTTATCATATGGATTTTGGATAACGTCAAATGTATTCTTGAACTATCAAATCAATTTTATAAAGCATCAAATGAATTTTTGAAAGCATCATTTGTATTTTCGATGGCATTATATTATTTCTGTCAAAATACATCATTTGACAGCTGTGTAAAATTTATGACCTCGCTGTATCTCAACCTCTAAGTTGCGTGATAGATTAAGTAAATACAGGGTGTCCCGAAATTACATAGACATTATCTTTTTAACCACGTTATCGGCGACCGAAAGTAATCTGAAAAGTTGACGCATACATCCAAATGCTCACCGTTTTTGCGATACAGGGTGATTTCCTGATGATATTTTTTGACAATAATTTGAATATCTTTATAGATAAATATTTACGATTTGATACAAATCTCCAAATTTTTATTCACGTTCACGTTCAGAGGCGGTTAAACAAGGGAAGCCTTGTGAGTATAATTCTGCGTTACTTTTATGTTTTTGGAATTCTTGACTTTGGAGCTGCAGAATATGAAAAAACAAGATTTTTTTAATTAAATTAATTTTAACTTAGTTAATTAATTATCTGCATATCTACATAGAAAAGATCATTATGTAGAAAATTTCGATATTTTATATTCTCTTGAATGGCTCACGACCGTACCTGGTAGGTATCAGTAACAACCAAAAAATGAGAAATCTGTCATTTCTGACTTTTAACCCCAGTTTCATGTTTAGCCACCAGGATCGCGTTCAGATTGATTGCCGGAATTAATGTAAACGCGCTCCAGACTATAGCTATCTAAAATTCATATCACCTTTTCGAAACTACATATGATTAAGCTAAAATACATATGATTATTTCTAAAATTAAATTTACTAACCGAAACTACTTTTGACGGAGCCTCATAATCATTTGACTATTCTCATTTACAATTGAAGATATCGATAATTAAATTAATAGCTCTAAACTACATATGATATTTTCTAAAATACTTTTTTTATTTCTAAAGTTCAATTGATTTATACCCAAATACTAATAACATTTCGAAACTACATTTAACGCTTTCGAATATACTGTTGGAAAAGGTGTAGTTAATACGAAATACGCAACCTTTAACTAACAATAATTCTTCAGGTAAAATTAATTAGTCGCAAACAATTTCCAAGATTCTCATGCAAATGAAACAGTGAAAAAAAGCTAAGAAGCCATTAATCACTCAAGTTACGATAAACATTAGGCAAAAGAAACCATCCTAAAGAAATTTATTTATTTATGTTTACATCTATAGATTACTAAGACGTAAGGTGTCATAAATTAAGTAAAAACCTACTAAGCGTAATAGCCGCAATGCACAGTGAGGAGCAAAGATGGACCCAACCCCAAGTGAATGGGGATCACGCACAGTGGGAAAAAAATAATAATTCGAGGGTCGACAATTCCAGTAGGTTAAACGAATTTCCACATAGTCAGAGGGCACTAATTACGGCGGGGTACGGCCGGCAACACTTCGGTTCTGAAGATAAGACTCAATATCGCACAGGGGGGCAAACAATTCTAAAGCGGCTATCAGGAACCGAAATCCGACTCGGACAGCGACGAACAGGAAGTACACCATCAAGGAAAGGCGCTAGCAGCATACTAATCCACCCACCCCCATTCAGGAATACCAAATGAACTAAAGCCCTGGTTGAGGAGGATTCCGGATTGTACTTAGTTTTGGGTCAGTTCAATGTCCTCCAAAACCCTTCCTAAACTGGACGTATGGCCCGATCCGGCTGACAAAAATCCGTGGAGCGGCCTTAACCTTTGACACTGTCATCCACGACCTCCTAGGGTGGATCTACCAACCGGAGTAAAAACTTCGGATCCAACAAACACAGGTAATGCTGTGATTTGGCGGGATACGCAGGAGAACGGAAAGGGGGTAAAATAACCCCGGGAGATTAGTGGAGGATAATATATTTGGGGCCTGCCATACGTTCCCATACTCAAACTCATACTCAAAATTGCCAAATAATATATATACAGGGTGCGCCAAGTATCCTTCTATGTGAATACTTCTATGGGTATTTTTTATTTGAAGAGCTACAAGGTCAGTTAAATTAGAGAAAAGTTGCGAAATTACAAGCCTTTTAACACGAAATGTATAAATTAAAATATTTAAAAAAAACTAAAAACCTTTTAAAACAAAAAATCGTTGTAACTGTCGTTATTCCTGGAAATTTTAAAACAAAATAAGTTTTACATGTAAATATAAACATTAGGGTGCTTTTTTTTCACGACTATTTTTATTTTTTCGCTCCCAACTCAAAATCTTGTTGAAAATTTTCAAAAAAAATTCCCTGATAATTTGAGCCCTTAATATTAACTCAAAGTACTCGACCAAAGCGTATAAAGATTTCCCATTTAAAATACACGTAAACTTTGATTTTTAAATATCTATATCTCAGCCGCATTTTATGCTATTGGATTGTTTCAAAAAAGGATTTACTCGTAATCAAAAGTTCTACAAAAATGCTTTATGTGCCATAGCTGTAATTTGCACCTGTAGGATGGTACGGGTCACTAAATCTTATTTTAGTGAAAATTTCTTATATTTTTGAACATATTTTAAAAGTGACTGAATTCTTTATAAAATAAAATGTCAATGTAAAAGCTTTATATCTCAACAAATATCAATCTTAGCGATTTAACTGATAGGACCTTTTTCAAAGAAAATTAAATTTTCTACAAGTTTGTCCTTTACATTTTTTCAAAGAATCTAGTCACTTTTGAAATATCTTCAAAAATATGATAATTTTTCACTAAAATAAGATTTAGTCCCACAGGCGCAGATTACAGCTATGGCACATAAAGCATTTTTGTAGAACTTTTGATTACGAGTAAATCCCTTTTTGAAACAATCCAATAGCATGAAATGCGGCTGAGATATAGATATTAAAAAAAAATAATCAAAGTTTACGTGTATTTTAAATGGGAAATCTTTATACGCTTTGTTCGAGTACTTTGAGTTAATATTAAGGGCTCACATTTTCAGGGAATTTTTTTTTAACATTTTTAACAAGATTTTGAGTTGGGAGCGAAAAAAATAAAAATAGTCCTTAAAAAAAAGCACCCTAATACACAAAAAAAAGTGCTCTTTTAGTTCCACCCTTACTTCCTAAGAAGTCCCAGAAGCCAACTGAATGGCATGTGCGGGTTAGGGGTAGGAACGGACCGCGGGCTTAAAGTCCCCTCCGAAGGACTATTACACAATAGGACAAACACAAATAAACAGCCATACCCCTGGTGGGATTCGAACCCACGATCTCCGGCTTGTAGTCAGCAGCACTAACCACTAGTCCACCGTCGGCGATAAACATTAATATACATTTTCATCCAATTTCTTCGCTACTATGTTTTGAGTTAGGTACCATCAACATCTTTTGATTTTATAATGGCCGCCATAACTTTTCTCTAATGGTAAATCTATTGGCAGTCACATTCGAACTCTT